AGCACGAAGCCGCGCAGCGAATTCAGGTTCTGGTTGCCCACATAGCAGATGCCGGCCACCGGATCCCCATCCACGGAGCTCAGGGCCAGTGCCGTGATGGACTTGACGCTGGGGATGAGCCACGCGGCCAGGTGGAAGTACTGCGCATAGCCGGCGATGGCCTCGTTGCCCCACTTCATGCCGGCTGCCAGGAACCAGGTGAGCGACAGGATGACCCACCAGATGGAGCTGGCCATGCCGAAGAAGTAGACCAGCAGGAAGACTACCGTGCAGAGCGCGGGGCCCGTGGTCTCGTAGTGAATGTGGCTGTGCTCGCGGCTGCAGGCGACGCTGGCATGGCCCACTACGAGGCGCACCAGGAAGCCCAAAGACACGCACAAGTAGCAAGCGGACAGGAAGATGATGGGGCGCTCAGGGTAGCGGAAGCGTTCCATGTCTATCAGGAAGGTAGCCACGGTGGTGGAGGTGGAGATGAAGCACAGCACGGACCACAGGCCGATCCAGAAGGTGGCGAACGTGCGCTCGTCGGGGCTGAAGGAGGGCTGGTAGCAGGGCACCGCGCAGTTGGGTACCTGGCCCGTCCGCACCTTGTTGTACAGCGGGTGCGACTCCTTCAGAATGGGCACGAAGGGTTCCCGGCACTTGCACACCGACGGGCCCCCGGCGGCGCACTCACCTCCCGAGGAGGGGGCCCCCGGCAGGCCTGGGAGGGTGGGCTTGGCCGGGAGGAGCCTAGGAGGCGCCGTGGTGGCCTCGCTGCGATTGTAATCCATGCACAGGACCTCGGCGTCGCGCCCCAGCACGGGGAGGCGGTCGCAGCTCATGCGCTCGGGCCACGCGAGCAGGCAGATGGGCGTGTACATGGAGCACAGGAAGAAGAGCAGGTCCGGAGAGCAGTGGATCTCCACCAGCGGCCAGAACTGGTGCACCTCCAGGCCCGCCTCCTCCTGGGTGTCGTGGTTGAACTGGTTGGGCATGTGCGTCAGGTTGTAGCCGATGCCGCGGCACATGGGCACCGTGATTTTCTGGCACACCGGGGCCTTCGAGGCGGCCACCGCTCGGCCTGCCAGCTGCGCCAGCAGCAGCAGCAGCAGCGAGGGCG